AAGAAGGTACAAGTATTTATAAATGGTTGTCTACGCAAGATACTCAACATTCATTGGCCGGATACCATCAGCAATAGCCTTCTCTGGAAGAGAACAAACGAGCAGATAAGCTTTCAATTGAACAAGGTGGAATTCAGACGGCTAAATTGCATATTTGATTTAGAAAGTAAACATTTAAAGTATTTCATTTATCGAACAGACTACATCTCATGTCTCTAAAGCCCATGGACATATTGGGTTTATAAACCGTTATTTTCAAATAAAATAATCTAAAATAACCCTCTAAAATGTATGTGTTCGGTCCAATTTAATCCTTCCACAGACTGATTTATGGACCGATTCTAAGTTTCCCAAATGCCTGATGGAGCTTACCTAATTCAAGCTGCATTTGACGACCGTTAATCCAACAATTAACCAACTGGCACCTAATAGACCCATCATAAACCGATATTATTCGACTTCTCTGTAATTTGACATGTAGCAGTCCAAACAGTGCTTTATTCGACTTCTTTTGTTATATGCTTCATATTCCATTAAATGACTATGTTTCTTGAGTTTTCTTTTGATCTTCACAACTATTGATCGTGTTGCACACATTGAGCGTTAAAAAATACCTTGGACTAGGACTCAGTAAAACTTAATGCAACTAGAGACCGCTCAGGTGAAAAATCAGTAACTGTTTAATCATAAGAACCTTAGAAAATATTCTAAATTATCGTGAGCTTCTTCTAGTTTACATTCTACTAGTATGAAATTTTTTATCCTTAATAACACTCAAACATTGTGTTTTTCTACTTACTTATTTATAGTCAAACAAAAATACGTTACAGACACATGATGAAAGGGGTGAGTACTTAACATACATACGATCTGAGTTAATAATCAAATAAGCGACAAGGTCAAAATGTAGCTTACAAATAATGTGAAGATCGGTCTGTTCAGAAAGTATAATAATCTCTGTGTGCTTGACATAGTAGTAGACACTACAAGTTTGCATAGGATTTATCAGAGTGATTTTGCCAGTTTGTGTGCTACACTTATGCCAAACGGCTTCAATAATCTCGTTGTAATTTTTGATGAGTCTTTTATGTTTGTTCCCGTACCTAATTTCGTTTCTGTTAATGATTTATGTTGACATTTTTTGATAAGGCTACATGGAAGTTCATTCTTTCGAAAGGAAGTTCATCAGATATTTTTCATCTTTACGCACTTCAAGTGTTCTGTAGTGTGTTATCACACTCTTGAATAAAACTTGTAAGCATTTCGTTTTGTGACTTATTACATTACAGCTACCGTAATTGAGAATTTGATTTTTATCGACTGGCTTCCAATATACTTGAGTTTCCACTTTTCCTGTAACAGTTCCACAGATCAATACATTCAAAATTAATAATTTGTTGTTTGACTCCTAGTCAATTGTCAATATTATCAGATTGTAAATGTTTTCCAGATAGTCCTTTTTAGTGATGACGAAAATGTCATCCACATTTTTTTGCCTTCATCACCAACTCAACCCAACGGCGATAGTGACTACCTTCAAGAAATGCAGTACTTCCATGTTTATTGATGTTCTCACATTGATTGGTTCATTGTTATTACATAATTCAACAATCTCTTCAGCCTTAAACTGAAAATATACATTGGTATTGAACCAACATGAAGGAACATCTTCAGTCGATTCAATTTGTTTAGTAAAAATCAAAATGGTTGTTGAGTCGGCTTTCAGAGAACTTCAACGGAGCCTTCAGAGGCCCAAAAGGAGCCGGAGAGTCCTAGCCAATCGGAGCATGATGGAGCATTCTAGAATTTCAACGTGGCGTGCTACTATTGTTCAGTAGCATAATTTCGTTAACGGATTGGCCGAAATATGATGTTGATTTAACAAACGTTAACATCTATAAATACCATGTTTTCTGTACAAAAACGAACCCCAGAATAAAGTGTTTCATACTTTGCGTCTTCTTTTTGGTGTTCAGGTCGCTGTATAGTTCTAGAGTGCGGGTATCAGAATAGCTTAGGAACAAATATAGCGTCCAAATCAGCAAGACTTAACAATGGTTAAATTTATATCTATAACTAAAGTCAATATCGTACATTGTTATGTCATGTACTTCTTTTTTTACTGGACAACAATTCCAAAACACTTATGACATAAACTTATTAACTATATCAAAATGATCACCTTTTTAAATGACTACCTATAACAGTTGTTCATATTTTATTGTTTTTAAAAAGAAATTCTCATGTTATTTTAGTGTCAAAAATGTTTTCAATGGAATGATCAACTGTATGCATATACCCAATGGCGAGACTATAATTTACAAAACGAACCAATGATGTATAAGATAAAAGATCAAGGATTTTGGCGCAAAATTCATTCATCTATTTGGATAAACAGGGTTTTGGCATTATATCTGATGAAAACTCCCTAAATCTAATTTCTAATCATAATCATCAATTGTAAATTATAATTCCTCACAGTAGTTTATAACCCTAATTTAGTCCCAGTTATAAGGTGGACACTCTCAAGGTCAGTTTAGTGTCACTCAATGTTCGTCCATCGATTAGTCTCACTGTAACGTAATTAAGTAAAAAACCAAATGATTGAAAATCATTTCATGATGACTTAACTGATCGATCATTGAACAAACTAGCCCAAAGTTGTGAACTTAATCCTATTGACCAAGTATCCATTAAGGTTAATTGACTAGATGTTAATCAAATTCTACTAAAACCTGAATTGAGATAGATTTTGTTTGGATTCACTAAGTGGACATTGGTCTTTTCATGACATTAAGTATGCCTTGGTTATGCATACTAATTAGTATAAACGTAAGTTGAGGTTCTTCTACAGTCTATCGTCGATCATGTAATATCAGAATGAAAAACTTATCAAGATGTTTCCATGCCTCGGAAGTCAATTGCATATGTGGTTCAGAATATCAACAGACAATAACTCGATCTTTTCGAAAGTCATCTCTCTTCAAATTTCTAAGCATCACATTCACAGTAACTTGGTAATGTTTCAGTCCTTTGCCATAATTAGATATAAACTAACAGTTTGTATCTTCATCTTTTCTTATCCTACATCCAATCCCATGAAGCTCTATAGATGCCGCTAAAATAGAATGTTCAAAATATTCTAATTTCTCACACAGGTTTATAACTCTCAATTAGACTTGGCAAATAGGTGGATATTTTCGGGGTCATTTAAACGTCACTCAAAGATCGTTCATCAATGATAGTCTCACCATTTAAATGATCGGCTGTTTTTAATTTTAACCATTTGTTATCGGTCGTAGGTTGTCAATTAAAGTACTACACATTATTAATATATTACATGTAATATTGTAATGTATGTTATAATATTGTGTAAGTAGGACAATGATGGATAAGGGTCATTGTAATTGTATGTAGATAGTTTAATTATTTTGAAGGTATTTCGCTTACTGAAATGAATGGTTCATTGTCTTTCTAATAAGCACTAATAGTATATACTCCATGAATTGGTTATGTAATAAACATTAGCTTGATACTTTGGCGCCATGGTTAATAAGGAGGATTATTACTGAATTCAAGTCCATGAAGTCACTGAAAAATGGACTGAGTCATGTTGGTAGGTGTAGACTACCTGATTGGAGACCGCGAGATGATAGCAACCGATGGTTAGAGACCCTGAATGACATGGCTCAAAATCGTTTGCAATGGTGGGCGCAGGTGCATCCACTCTTAGTGTTCTTCCAAATCCTAATCTCCTGATTCCTCCTTATCTCTTTTTTTCTTTTCCCAAATTTATTTCACTGGACTATACTCTTTAAATAACATCTCGAAACCCTAATCTTTTCGATTACTGCTTATACTTTTACTACTTCTACCACTATGGGAATTGGATCAACAACCGCATCTCTGTGCTAATGTGGTATGGCAACTCGAATTGATGTACGTACGTACGAAGTTCTACGTTTTTACTGACTGACTGATTACTGAATTACTCCCAAAAATTCAACCAATAGGATAATCATTTATAATCACCATTTTGAATTCTTAAATCGCGCGTATGTCGTGCAATTCGGTAATTTCAAAGTATTTCGCCTAGTATCATTACCATCCGCAACACGGAAAAAATCTCTCACACTTTTCTATCAGTTCAGTAGTTTCAGCTCTGGATTAAGGGTTATCAGGACCATGGTACAAGTTTAACTATACAGTATAAAGACGAGAACCGGTTTTTTCAATGTGCCCGCAAAAGTCCTGATACGACCGAGGGTAGGGAGAGTCAGCTTCCTCATTCTTGAAATGCTCTCAGATGGCCACGTGCATATGACCACTGCCAGAGAAGTTCTACTCACTGCCTTCTCGCGGTGGGGCCGATGTCTACGGAATTAGGAGGACGGAAAGTGAATGTACGGAGCTTTAACAGGGTTGGTGGATATGGAGGATCAACCTAGAGGAGTTGGAAAGCACTCATTCCAAACAAATAGTGCATATGGGCTCCAATGTCCTGAGGGAACAAATGACGTATGAACCAATTGCTGGTCACCGACTACCATGTCACTGCATCTCCTAGCTTTGCTCCACTGCCTTGTGGATTTAACCTTTAGGTCGAATGCCGCGAGTGTGGCCGATTAAGAAACCCATCCGATTCGGTTGGGGCACCCGGCTAGTATCACACCTCATACACAAATCAAGTGACTTGTGCGGCGCAAATGTGTTCGGTTCCCCTTGTACCAATACTTATGTGTTCAAATAAATAAATGTGTCGCTCAATTAGTTGAAGTCAGACATTAACACATTTGGATTTCAACTCAGTGGTTAAGCGCTAGCATGCGAGACTGATAGGTTCTGGGTTCGAATCTCACGTGGCAGGATAGTGGATGCGTATTGCCACTGAGGACGGATATCCAGTGTTTCCAAGTTTTCCATAATATCAACTATTGAAATAACTTAAACTTGAATCCATTTCATAACAATCTTACATAATAAATAAGAATGTAATCATTGGAAATAAATGAATTTTAATTAAAATACTTAATACTAATATGCGTAAATCATGCTGATCAATGTATATTGAATTGAAAAGATATAAATGATTTCTCATTTAAATGAATGTTAAGTAAGCCGGATTGAAAATGATCACGTATAGAAAACATGAGAATTCAATTTGATTCATCTATGATCTATTATTAGATCTATTATCTCTATGATTATTATTCTTCTTATTATTATTGTTCTATACGTGTTTTAATTAAATCTTTTAAGATTAATGCATCATTAGTAAAACGTCTTATACCATCAGTTAATTTATCATTAGCCATTTCATCTTCATTCATTTGCCAACGAAATTCTTCTTCGGTTAATAATTCATCTGATTGATAAGAATGATCATAAGATGTTTGAGCTGAGTGTGTGTGTGTGGGTGTGTTTTGTTGTTGGTGGTGGTGGTGGTCACAATAAAAAGAAAAGAAGAAAGAATCACAATTCATCAATTCACGTAAGTGAATAACACAGAAATAATGCATAAAAAAATTCCATCAGTGTGTAGTTATTTGTTAAGCCCCTAAATTCCCTGTTGCGACCGAGAGTGGGAAGAGTCAACTCTCCCTCTCAAAATGCTTACATATGGTCACGTATATACAACCACTTCAAGTGAATTCCTACTCAATGCCTTTTCACGGCAAGGCTGATGTTTACGAAATTCAGAGGACGAAAAGCGAATATCCAGTGGTTTAACCGGGTTGTTGGATATAGATGATCCACGTACGAGAGTTGGAAAACCCTCATTCCATATCAATGGTGCACATGGGCTCCAGGATCCTAAGTGAACAAATGTCGTATGAACATATTGTTGGTCATCGGCTATGATGGGACTGCATCTCCTTATGTTGCTCTATTACCTTGTGGATTAAACTTTTAGGTCAAAGGCTCTGGGTATAGTACCCTAAGAAAACTACCTGCTTCAGTTTGGGCACCCGGGAAGCATTATAGTCCACACACAAATCAAGTGACTTGTATAAATTATTAATACGACTAACTTATCAGTTTAGCTTGAAAAAGAACAACATAGTATCCAAATGAAACAATTAAAGATATTATATGGCTATCAAAACAGAAGTTGAACACAGTTTCTTACCATAACTAAGAAAACAGAATAAATTTATTTACCTTTTTCAACAGTCAAGCATAAATTGGGCACTTCTGACATTTTACTTAATTCTTCTAATAGACTAGGTGATATTGTTAACAAATCACATCCAACTAAACCAAGGATTTGTTCAACATTTCTAAATGATGCACCCATTATCTAAAACAAACAAAATGTATTCAGAATAAAATAAAAATATGTATATAGATGCGACAAAAGAATAATCCTGTTGACTAACACCAACCATCATCTTATCTCAATATAGTACACTGAATATCGAGTCACCTAGACTGGTAGCCACAATGTAACTTGGTCGATAGGATTCGATCTGCACTAAGAAGGACCACATATACATGATATTGATTACCACTCAGTGATTAATCAATTGTAAAAAGAATACTCTTTTGAACTATTAGAGTCTATCAGCATGATATTGAGTTTGTATAGATGTAAAGTTTAGGAAATATACATAATTTAGCTCCGAAACATTGTCACATAATGAACTGCGTGGAAATCAAGTATGTCAACCCTACCTAACATGATATTAGTGCTGTCTACAATCTTAAAGGAAATAACCTTCCGCTTGTTGTGGATCGTTGGGAGTGAGGTAGCGTGTTCAAAGGCACATTTCTTAATGTCACACAGCTGGAATTATTATCGCTAGAATGATCATTCATTAACTGATCACTAATAAGTGGTAACAATAATAATCATGAACATTATTGGATATTAAATATCAAAACAAACTATTTTGTAATTTCAATGGTTGAGATTATGAATCAATTGAAGCAAGATCACCATAGATAACCTGGAAACACTGGACAGTCGTTTCGTCCTATTGTAGGACGCCTCAGTGACAGTGCACATCCACGATCACGCCTCACGAGATTCAAACCCAGGATATATCAGTATTGCACACGAGCGTTTAACCACTAGATCACTGAGTTGGCATCTAATTGACTCATGATCTTAACCATTGAAATTACTACAACATCTACAAAAACCCGTTTGATATGAAACTATTTTGTATTGAAAAGATTTTTGTAAAGTTTTACACAGAATTGAATAATTTAATTCAAATACACGTTTCCTTTTTTCTATTTTTGTTTGTTTTTTTGTTTTGTTCTGCACCAATACCATTGATTATACAACTTTAGAAAGATTTATTATAGAAAGGTAGTAGTATCAGTATGTTTTATATGTACTACAAGAAACATCAAATGAATTGACGTAAAAGTCATCAGAGAGGAAAAAAACGATGACGACAACGACAACAACAGCAATAATATGAAGACAAAATAACAACTGTTGCTGTGGATAAAACATAAATATTTCATATAGACTATAAGTCATTCAAATTAACCAGGCAAACAATGATCATCTTATAAATCAACTAAAATGTTAGAACATATTCTTTCTCATATATAGTACTATCATTAAAGAAGTAACTGCTTCTATGAATTCAGTGTTCATTTAATTGTACTAATGAAGTGCGACAATTTGGATCAATGCATAAATGTGTGCCTAGTTCTATATTGTAGCTGACTGACCAACTATTGACTGATATGATTTGTTCATGTCAAAATAACCATTTTAACTCGATCTATTATTCAACAAGAATTAAAAGTCACTTCTAAGGAATAACAACAACAATAATAATACATATTCAGTTATTATATTGAATAAATGTTTAAGTCATTTAAAGAACCAAAAAGAAAACATTCTTACATTAACTGAACATTGAATAGTTACTATGTAATGTCTTAAACAATAGACAACTTATAAGTAGTATAAATATGCATTAAACTAAATTGTCATATGATGTAATCAAGACAAGATAAAAACAAAATTGTAATAATAATAATAATGAATAATAAGATGAAACAATATGTATGTAATATGAATAGAAGATTGAAAAAAAAGTAAATACATGTATGCCATAATAACCGATATTAGATCGTTTAACATTGCTTAACAACCGTAATTAAATAATCGATATCTTTCTATACAATTAGTTCGAGAGTCAACAATCTTATGGATTAATATTGTAGTTTTGAGTTTGGTTAATCTATTCATGCTCTTTAGACAACATTAGACTTCTAAGGAGACAATAGTTGAAGGTGTTGTTAAGTATCCCCATGATGGAACAACATTTTCAACGAATTTGGTTAATTATGTTATATGCATTTTTTCTGCCTTTCAATAACTAAGACTAAAGTAATAATGATAAGATTGTTTTTTATGTGCCTGCATTCCAGAGTCGATATTCACTACTGGAAATTCACCTCATTGCACAAATCAATGTCTATCTAGACTCAGTAGATAAGTGGATATAGCGATGTTATTGAAAGCTAAATGTACTGGCATTAAGTCTTAGAGTGAACATCAAGTCTGAGATGCACGTACATCAAGCCGACTAGTTCAAAATACAACGAAACGCACGTCGCTGATTTTACTGCTAGTAACCATCTATATCCGTTTGAAATGCTTGTAGCTTACCGGCAATATCGAGGCAATCAGCACAGAATGTACATACATCAAAAAGACTGATCAATTGCAATCCTGAACATTAATGGGAAGATCCAAACAACCACTATTTATTATTATTGTTTATTTAAACACATAAACACTGATAAAAGAAGGCACCAAACAGATATGCACCACGTAAGTCATTCGATTTATGTGAAGGCTGTGAGACTTCCCGGGTACCCAAGCCGAAGCAAGCGGTCTTCATAGGGGGCCAAACGCAAAGCCTTTGACCTAAAGCTTCAATCCACAAGACAGTGGAGCAACGTAAGGAGATACAGTCCCATTGTAGCCGATGACCAAAAATATGTTCATACGCCATTTGTTCTCATAGGACCCTGGCGCCCATGTACACCATTAGTTTAGAATCAGTGTTTTCCAGCTCCCCTAGGTAGACCCTCCATATCCACCAACCTGGTTAAAGCACCAAACATTCGCTTTCCGTCCTATCAATTTTGCAAACAATAACGCCATCACGAGAAGGCAGTCAGTAGGACGTTCCTGGTAGCGGCTGTATACACGCGGCCTTTTGAAAGCACTTCAAAAGTGAGAGCTAACTCTCCCCACTCTTGGCCGTACCAGGACATTTGGCGGGTACTTAATTAAAGATATTCATTATCTTTAATAGTAATATTATACAAACAACAGATTGTCTCTTGACCTTTCTATACCAAAAATGAACAAAATTTTGATGAGATCTTATTGTGTATACCTTAGAAACATTCTTTGGTAATGTTGATTACAATTATAATATACCTGAAATAGTTCTGATACGAGTGTCGAACGAAGCGTTGAAATTAATTGAATTTCAATCGCTGAAATTATTTAAACACATTTTCTATATTTAATATTGTATCGCTTCAAACAATTCTATACAAGGGTTAAAGGAAAACAGTTAGAAGTTCTATTAGTCACTCAGCTACAACGTAGGACCATACACATATATGCATCGGCCCTCATACCTCTCAACAGCACTCAAGGCCACTGTAGAAGTTCTATCTTTGAATATTCGATCAATTTCAATCACTCCACTATCATTGATGTAACTGTTTTTATGAATTTGATATTCATCTTGCTTTGCTAATGAGGTATAGCAACCTGGACTGATGAATATATATGTGCTTGGTCCTACGTTGTAGCTGATTGACTCCATTGATCCACTGGTTAATTTAAAAAGTTATTTACATAACTTGTCTAAATCTATCTAGATTTTTTCGTATCCAATCCATTAAAACAATAGAAGCTTTTATCATTCATGAGATGAAGCCAAAACCGTGCGTGCAAAAGAAATATGTCTTATATTTACAATCGCTTTAACTATTATTTAACTTCATAATTTTTATTGTTACTATAGTTATTACGTAATCCGTTATTACAACCCTTTATCGCCTCTGTCAGGGAAGTCCTACTCACTTCCTTCTCGTGGCATTACTGTTGTTTACGAGATTGAGAGGACGAAAAGCGAATGTCCGGCGCTTTAGCCGGGTTGGTGGACATGGAGAGTCCACCTAGGACAGTTGGAAAACCCTGATTCCAAACCAATGGTGCACATGGGCTCCAGTATCCTGAAGGGACAAATGGTGTATAAACCAATCGTTGGTCACCAGCTACCATGGGACTGCATCTCCTTACGATGCTCCACTGCCTTGTGGATCAGACCTTCAGGTCGAAGGCTCCGGGTGTGGCCGATTAAGAAAACCACCTGATTTAGTTTGGGCACCCTGGCAGTATCCCAGCCCTCACACATATCAAATGAGATCTGTGTGGGGCATATGTATTTGGTGCATCCTTGTACCAATATCTATGTGTTAAAATAAATAAATAAATTTTATTACATCATCACGTTTATTCATTAGTCATATTGTCCATATGGAATGAATATCTAAGAAATTTCATACAAATATATAGATTGATTGTACAGTTTGAAAACAGAATTTCTTGAAAATAGATCTCTTCATTGATGAACTTTATGTTTTCAATGATGAAGTGACAATTATACATCTATAAAAGGATTATGTTATTTAAGGTGTAAAATCTTTTTCAGAAAATTAAACAAAAAGAATGGCAGAATATTTAAATGAAGATTAAGTGTTTGCACGTGAACCAAAAGGTCCTGGATTCGAATCCAGAGGGTGGGATCGTGGATGCGCACTGCTGAGAAGTCCCACAATAGGACGAAATGGCCATCTAGTGCTTCCATGTTTTAAATGGTGGTTTAACATCAATCGGTTCATGATCCCAATCAAAAACATAATAATCTCCACAACCCCATACTGATAATTGATTATAATCTTTTGAAAGAATTTTCATATAGGGTAGTTTGTGGTGATCTTACACTCAGGTGAGGAAAATCAATTTAATTAGTTAGTAAAATATTACAGAGTATCTTGGTAAAATATGAAAACCATACATTGAATGCATCATTTGCACATTACCTATCAGTTATCTCTTACAAAATTTAGCGTTTCTTCACTTCTATTGTTAGCACTCTTTGTTTACAGTTCTATGCTCTTCAGTTCGATCTTCTCAACATCTTAATGTCAAGCATTCCACATCTGATTGGTGTCACATAATACTTATGTTGGCATAAGTAGCATACACCAGTTATACTTTCTTGAAAATATTTATATATG